CGTCGTCGGCGACCCGACAAGGAGTGTCCGACGTGACTCTCACCGTGTTTTCGGCCAGATGACCTAGCGCAAGCAGACCATTTTCAAGTTTCGAGGAAAAGTACCCGCGGCTCAGCTCCCCATCCCGGCCCTTCATGTGTAATAGTCCTCTCCCGCTGAGGCGACGACGCCCTTCTCGCGGTGACGCGTGCCGGGCCCAGGCTTTTACGTAACGTTCGGCGGTAACGCGGCCAACGCCGACAAGACGATGACGACGCGACGTACAGGTCACATGCAGCAAAAGAGGTTCACATGGAGACCGAGGGGGAAGGGAGAGAGAAGACGGAAGGGGGGAGGGGGGAGGGGGAGCGAGCGAGCGAGAGAGAGGCAGAAGAGGTTTTGCGCTAGCTCGTGTGTCCTTGGGGCTAGGTCGCGGTCGCGGCTCCGACCGTCCGTGTTTGGTCGGATGCTAAATCACCGCGGGCTGCTAGGACCCCGCCGCCACCGCCACATATAGCCGCCTGCTCGCAAAGAGACACGGCGATGCTCGCGGCGCCCAGCGGTGCTTCCGCTGCCGCTGTCATAGCGGTCATCTTCCGGTTCCTGAAGGGCTGCTGCTGCTGCTGTGGTCCCAGCGGAGCACATGCCGGACCGGACGGCGGAAAGTGCCGCACAGAGACGACGACGACGCGGCGAGGCGAGTGGTGCGCGGCTCGGAGGCGGGGCCATGCTAGATAAAAGGGACTGTTTGCATGGCGAGCGCACGCCGAGCTGAGCGCACGCGGCCCGCCCCGACATATACAGCCCGATCAGCAGAAGCTCAGCATGAGCTCAGACGGACGGCCCGGCCGCCGCCGCCGCCGCCGCCGACAAGCACCTAGCAACGTAAGCAAAAGTGCCGCGCGCGACCGCCGTGCTAATGGACATTTCCACTTTTTTATTTTTTTTCTTTTGTATTTGCTCCGCGCGCCGCGACATGCCGCCGCCAGCAGCGTCCTGACGTCACGAAGGCAAAGCGAGTAAGTCCGTCGTATGGAACAGGATCCGACGAGTATGGAGGGCACGGGCGCGGATGACGTCCGGATGAGCCGTGTGGCGTTGGCGGCGGCGGTTCCACGGGTGAGCACGGACATGGTCGCGGTGGTGACAAATACTCTCCCCTCCCCACCTCCATTTTGAGGAAAAGTGATGATCATCAATGGGATGCCCCCCCCCCCCACTTCCCGCTTCCCTTGGGGATTATCCAAAAACTAGGTTCGCTATACGTTCGTGGCGAAACTGCCAAGTTCAGCCTGTGCATGCTCACAAAACGCCTGGTAGGCAGGCAAAATCTTTGCGTGCAGCGCATGCGTGTACGGCGGGGTGGCCTACCCCGAGTCTCGCAGGCGCCGAGCTTCCAAAAGAACCTGAGAAAAGCGCGGACGTACTTTCTGGACGATACCTTTTCGGCGGTAAGGATTTAAAGGACAGAAAAGTCGCGGAAATAAATTGGAAAAGATGAATTTTTTGAACAAAAAATAAACAACTTATCCGTCCCTTTTTTCAAATTTTCTCAAAAAATCCGAAAAACGAGTTTTTTTGTGTTTTGTTTTTTTGAAGAAACTTGAACTTTTCCGGTAATTTAAATATCTATTAGACGGCCTCACCTGCACGTGTACACGTGGTTCTTGCGCACAGAGCGCCGGAAGAAGCCCTTGCAGCCGTCGCAGGAGGCGGCGCCATAGTGCTTGCCCGTGGCCCGGTCCCCGCAGATGGAGCAGTGCTGGTTCAGCACGGCGCCAGCGCCGCCCGCCCCCGCCGCCCCCAGCGACGCCTGGAGCGTGGCCTGGACGCTGCTGGCGGGGCCGCCCCCGGTCGGGCCCGGGCCCATGGTGATGTCGCCGTCTGGAAACAAGAGAGAAAGAGGTTGACGTTACTCTCGAGATGTATGGAGACCGAGGCGATATTTGCAAAGGGAAGGAAAGCAGCAGCATTTCACCAACAAAACCGGGAGAAGCGGGGGGTTAATCAGAGAGATGCGGCGGAGGAAGATATGACAGCGTGGGTGACACTAAAGGGGAAGCGTCTCATCGACAAAGCGTTTACGCCATAGGCACGATGAATACCGACGGATTTTTTTCCCCACTTTGCAAACGCTACAAGGTCGGACTTAATTTGCGCGCGAATAGCCTACCGAGATTGTGCCACGCGCGGGAGAGGAGATGCTGTGCCTGTTCCGCGAACATGACAGGTCGCCAGGCGGACTCCCAGCCCAGAACCCGAAAGGAAACTACACTTACAGTACCGGCGAAAGGGTCCAAATAATTGCAAAATAGACTTCCACGAACCATGGCGCATCTGCATCCATACCGGCAGGAGCTAATCCAAAAGTATGGGCCGAGGTTTCTATACTTGGCCCATCGGCGCCGGTTCCGTCTTCTGGTGATATTGAACCGAATGCTGGCGTGCGGGCTGCGGGCGTGCTTGCCTATCGTCGCTCACTGAGGTGCATGGTGCATTTCCACCCCGCGCGAGTATGCAACCCACCCACACCTGCATCCTGCACAGTATGACCAGAACAGAGAACGGCGCCGATATGGGCCACCCTATTAACTATTTAATACAGCCTTTTCAGTTCTAGATGGGGTGCTTCTTGATGTTTTCCATGGAACAGGGACAGAAATATGACTGAATGTATCTCGTCGGGATTCACTCCGAGCTTGGTCGGAATCGACGGCAGCTGGCTCACACTCACATGACGCACTCACTGTTAGCACGTCTGTGTTGCACGGCCACATAATGCAATGAGCATTCTAACAGTCCGAAGAGGGGTGGCGTTTCTCCCACTTTCGGCACACCGTATATAAAACACGGAGCTGAAACTTTTAAATAAAGCGGGTCGTTTTGGTGGAGTTAAGCCCTGTATTAAGATAGAGCACCCGTTGGTTCCACTGCTGCTCTGCGCGTAGCGCCATGGAGATAGATAACCAGGCTAATCTGGTCCCCAAACTCCTCCCCCTCGTCCCCCCTACCCCGCTGCCGCCTCCCCTCCCTCCAAAACGATCCGCCATGTAACCGAGTGGGAGTGATGATTGCCTCACAAGCGGAGGAGATTCATCTTTCGGTGGCTTTCAACTAGAAGGCAGGATTATTCTAGTTTGGCCTTCATGAAAGGTGGACAGTGGCAGAGAGCATGCCCGAGCGAATGGTGCCGGGCATGAGTGCGACAAGGACGAGGGGTTTGACCCGGTGGTGTCTCCTGTCCAGTCCAGGACCTTCTCCAGCAGGATGTCATGTCCCCCAGGTATCCCCACTGCTGGACCAGGCAGTCCCTCAGGTGTGTTTAGCTTTCACCAGCAGCCGAGAGCGAGCCGGGCGCCGGAACCAGGGGAGAGACAGAGAGAGAGGGAGAGAGAACGAGAGAAAGACAGAGAGAGAAGCGACGGCCGGCAGGTTCCAAAGTCCAACTCGCCAGACGGCGGAGAGACGGGCTTTAAGTGACGTCAGGCGCAAGGCGGCCCGCCCCGGCCGATGCAGCCCAAATCGAATCCACGCACCAAAATAAAAGGTAATAAACACGGCATTCCTCGCGGTACCCGGGTGCCGGGCCGGCGCCAGAGCCGCCCCGCCGCCGCCATACGAGTTGGGCTAGGTTCGGCCTCAAGCCGCCGCCGCCGCCGCCCCGCTCGGGGCCTCTCGTGGGCCGTCCGAGGACACCACGCGCGGACCGGGGAGGTATAATTCCCAGCAATTTGTCCGCGGATTACTATTTTTGCGTGCGTCCTGATTGAGCGAGCGCGTGCAAAAGAAGCGACTGGCGGCGGCTGCAGCAGCAGCAGCGTCGGGTCGAAGCGGAGGACACACGATGCGAGTCAAACCCCCTAAAAAGCGCAGCAGTGGGCAGTCGGCGCGTCCAGTACAGTCATGAATGAAATCAAAGGAAGGGAAATTACCGCCAGAGAGTACGACATCATGTCGTGGCAAACCAGACCACAATTTCAATTTCTCGAGCTGAGTCATATGGCAGTTTAAATCCGGTACGGTAAATAGGTCTTCATTTTATTCATCTAAAACAGGAGCGATGGATGAAATGTGTGAAATGTGCATCATAGAAATGAGAGTGAAAGGTTTTGTCGTAAATTCGTCAAACAGGCTCCACACTCCGCGCACCAAACCAAAGGTCTCCGCTACCACCCAATAAAGCGCAACACATAGCCTACTACTACTGAACTACAAAATTGATTACAAAGCACTGTAAAACACAATGTATTTTTTTGTGCGTTTTTTTTTTTTTCAAGTGCGGGTACCTGCATCTGGGCTGCCCGGGCATCCCAAGGGTAGTACCATGGACACGTAGGGCGAGGGCCCCAGGGCCTTGTGCTGGGCCATGGGCCCCGCGGGGTCCTCGAACGGGCCGTGGTACGGCGAGCAGCCAGGAGTCGGGGACCACGGCGTCACTGCCAAGCATAGACAATCGTCACACAAGGTGATGTAGCATCCCTGATATCACAAACTGCACAAGTGGCGCAATAACGATTTCGATCCGACGAAACACTGCGCGTTGATTCGACGCCATGTAACGCCGCCGCTACTGCTGCTGCTGCTCAGAATGCAAGTGTGGCACGCAGCGGCGGGCCCACGGGACGGAAATGCAGGCCAGGCCGGGCCGAGCCGGCCGGAGAAAGGCGCCAAAGTCCAAACCAGACGCGCTCACACACACAGTGCGCCCCGCACCCGCGCCTCCCCGCAGAGCGCCTCCAGTGGCGAATTATATATACGGCGGACGGGTTGGCGCTTATTGGCGTCGCCGTGCGTCATGTTGTCTCGGTTATGGCACCAAACACGGGAGGAGGAGGAGGCACTCGCGGGGTTATCCCGCGGACGCGACAAAGGAGCAATTAGAAAGACCTGTCCGCAAACCGCACCATGGTGACTCGGCAAAAGTGGGCAGATTCATGGCACACGTCTCTAACTAATCCCGTGCATCATCCTGTTGGTCCGCCTGTACCTGGAAGACGACTGTCCCACCCTGTGCTGCTCCAGAATGAACAGACCTTTCCGAAACGAGGCGGTCCGAGGATAGTCGCACTTCTGGCCGTTTGAATCCCCCCCCCCCCCACCGTTATGTGGTCGCTCCACATCCGCGCATCGTCCGGTGCAAAGTCCAACCCGCTTTGTGATGAACGGGAAGAGGCGGGACAGAAAACAAAACACTTGACGTCTTAGGGCAGCCTAGCTTTTAAGGGGGGCGCTCTGACACCCACGCCCAACTGCCCGCGTCTTATTGCACCAGGCAGTACATTTCCGCTCTCGCGAAACAGAGAGTTTTCGAGGGTTAAAGTCAAAGTCGACAATCGCGGACGACGACGTAAGGATGCTCCGATATATTTGCCTCAAGGATCATATGATGCGGACTTCGGAGGACTCTGTCCTCCATGATTAAAGTTCAGGTGACCACGAGGTGCGATTAAAATAGACCGAGTGCGTCGCGTCCGGCCGCTCGATAGCCCAATCTGCACCATGATTGAGTCAGCCAGAAGACAAGCGACGCCCGTTTGTCACTTTCTCATCTGCTGGTGTCAGCTAACTGAGAAGACTGCCAGTCAAACGTCATTACCCATCGGATCACACCAAAGCGACGTTCTTAACCGTCCCGCATCCTTGACTTGAAAGAAAAAAAAAGGATTGTACGGCTCATGGCTACCGGGTTTGTTCCATCAGGTCTCGAAGGCCAGGGAGAGACCAATCGTAAAAGACGACGCTTATTGCAGAACAATCTTAGGTGCCTAACCACAAGTACGCTAATATTGGGATTTTATAAACAAAAATCACAAAAAAACACCACAAAATGGGGAGGGTCTGTGACATCGATACAAATTTGTATCTGATCTAGATGTGCTGTTTAGTAGCGATGATTACCGCAATCATAATACTAGGAAAACGTCTAGCAAATGAGCATGAGCAAGCAAGGCTTCCGTCGTTTTGTTTCGCGACGTGAGTACCAAGCTCTCACGCGGCAGCAAATGTATCGAGTGCTCTTATCGATCACCCGGTCCGGTCGAGAGGTCCTTTTGAGGTCTGATAAGGACCTCGGCCGGCTAAAACCGACGAGGTGTATAACAAAGCCTTGGCTGAGCTGCCTCCGCCACTTCACAGCACACGCAGCCGCATCACGCCACCAGCACGCACTCGAGATGTAGCGAGAAAAGCAACAACAGGTCTCTATCTTCCCAGGCAGCAAAATGGAGCAACTGCATTCAAACCGCTTTTATATGTCCCATCTGAAAAGCTCATTTTAGGCGGATGTAAACACATATTAGGCGCCTACACATCTTTTAGGCGCTTTTTAGATTAGGCACAAAATGCCAAAAAATGCACATTTTATGCAGCTCTGCTACCTGGGTAATGTACTTTGCGCCAAAAATTATTTCTTAAAGTGAAAACTTAGGCCAGTTGCTTGTTTTTTTAAATAAACGCAGGGGATTTAGGTTTGAGAGCTGCGACTCACGCTAATTGTCGACATGTGCTGTGCTGAGCCTTGTGACGGTTGTTTACATACACGATTCACACAACTGCAGAAATAACCACAATTTATTCGTAGAAACTTGTGATAGACGTCACTCCATTCCGCGTGCACTAATATTTACCATTGGCAGGCGGCGGTGGGACATTGATAATTTGATTTCCACTTGAGTAATTCTTGTTAAAGTGGAAAAGGGGTGTAGGAAGTAGGGTCATCTACTACAGTGCACATTAAATCTACTACAATACACACTAAATAGGAAGTAAGGACAATTAACAGTTGTGTGTCCAGCCGAGCACATCTTAATCGGGTGCAAATTTTTATTCATTCAAAGTCAAAATTTGATATTTTCTTCTGGAAACAAAATTTCCTTTAAATCAAAAATGTGACGATTATTTTATTTATT